GTTCAACTTGATAAGCGGACAAAAAATAGAAAACCAAATAAGGATCTTTTTATTCTAAGAGTCCCACTTAACCCTATATTAGTCGCGCGCCAATCGGGGGTGATTAAACTAGCACCCCCCACACTGCCCAACTCGCGAGACTATGCTGTTAAGACAGAGGGTTAAATAAGTCATAAAAAGGTTAGTACGCCTAAGGGCTATGGATAGTTGAAGCTGTGGTGATGATAGTAGGCTAGACAGCTAGTGGTAGTATATAATCATCCCTGGTCGAGTGCATAGCAATGATCTTTTCCTACTAACTACCAAGGTATTCGATATTGTACAAGCATAACAAAAAAGAAAATATTTAAATATTACCAAGATAAATTAGAACCTAATTAACCATCATAATTTGTATATATAGTTTTAAAGCCAGTCGGCTAGCGTTGTATCACACAAAATTATAAAAACTGATTTAAAAATTCTAATGTATCAAAAAATATAACGAAATGTTAATTAAGAAATAATAATGAGAGTTGACGGTATGAGGAGTTATTGTGAGGTTTTCAGTATTTATTTATTCATTAGTTTTGACTTAAAATATGGTTTAGTGTAATAAAAAATTATATTGTCTTAGTATTCCCAATATGTTTTCTTCTCACTTCTTTCCACATTGCACTTAATCTATTTTTTTCCAAAACATTTACTAAGAACAAAACAAAAATATAAATATTATTATATTTGAATTTTTTGTATACTTTTTCAAAATGTATGCTAGTTATAGTTTGAAACACAATATAATTTTAATTCAACATTAAATTATTTAAGTAAAACATAGCTTTAACATAAAAGAGCCCTTATTAGACCCCTTTCACTTAAATTTTTTGTATCCATAGTAACATTCATTCAATTAACACATTATTTTATTGTACTAAGGGAAAGTCGATAGAACTCTGATCATATTTTTTCACATTTTTTACTGATATTGTAGACTGCAGTCATTAATATTTGTTTTTAATATACATTTTTTTATTTGATTCTTAAAATTCATTGGCCTGCTGGCGCCCATGCCCCTCTTCCCATTTTTATTTTTAAATTTAAATTCTATCAAATTTTTTAAAAATTTTTTTTTATTTTGATTCTTATAATTCATTTGCCTGCTGGCGCCCATGATCCCCTTCAAATTTTTTTTTTCTATAATTTAACTCTAGTTCAATTTTTTAAAAACATTTTTTAAACTATGATATAAGTTAGTACCTTATAAAAATTCATTGTTTCATGATCTACATATTGAAAATAAAGCTAAGAGCTTAGGAATAGGTACTGATATTGTAGACTGCAGTCTTTTTAATGTAAATTTTTTTTTTTTGATTCTTATAATTCATTTGCCTGCGGGCGCCCATGACTCCCTTCCCATTTTTATTTTTAAATTTAAATTCTATCAATTTTTTTTTGAATTTTTTTAAATTTTTTTTCTTATAATTCATTTGCCTGCGGGCGCCCATGATCCCCTTCAATTTTTTTTCCAATTAAATTAACCCAAGTTCAATTTTTTGAAAACATTTTTCAAATTATGCAACCTTATAAAAATTCATTGTTTCATTATCTTATTATTGAAAATAAAGCTATGAGTTTAGCCATAGTGATATTGTAGACTGCAGTCATTAATATTTGTTTTTAATGTACATTTTTTTATTTGATTCTTAAAATTCATTTGACTGCGGGCCTTCATGCCCCCCTTCCCATTTTTATTTTTAAATTAAACTCTAGTTCAATTTTTTAAAAACATTTTTTTAATTTTGATAGCAAATTAGTACCTTATAAAAATGCATTGTTTCATTATCTAATTATTGAAAATAAAGCTATGAGATTAGGAATACCGATATTGTAGATTGCAGCCTTTAATATTTGTTTTTAATGTACCCACATTTTTTCATTAATTTTTTTCATTTGATTCTTAAAATTCATTTGCCTGCGCCTACCTGTAATGTCGATGGGTAGCGAAATAAAAACCAAATATGAAAAATAATTTTTATTTTTCTCAAAATGGCCACTCAAAGCGTATTCCATTTGATTGCAACGGAAATGTATAATATTATTACTACCATGAACTAAGAATCATTGACCTTATGCAGTCAACTTGCGATTTAACGAAATTTGATATAACGAATAAAACTAGCGGTCCCTTGAAAATATCGCGGTATAACGAACAAATGTAATGTAATTTGGTCCCCTTGATGTAGTTGATTATTTGTCTAGTAGTACAGTCAACTCGCGATATAACGAATTTCAAGGGACCAAGAAAAAAATTCGTTATATCGAAAGTTCGTTACATCGAAATTCGTTATATCAAGAGAATATACCAATTGAATTCGTTATGACGATATTTAAAGAGATTGTACATATTTATTTAAAAATTGTATTATTCGTATACATATGTATAAAATATATGAGTCATAAAAGTATGTATTTATTCGACATAAGTCTTATCTTAATTGCGATACTGTACTTGAGTGTCCTATCGCATCAGAAAAACTTCGTAATCTATTATGTGGTAATACCAACATACTTAATTTTATATATCTTTCATAGAGTTATACACTAGATACATGTATATTATCTTAATTAAAATTAAAAATTCGTAATAAAAAGCTCCAAATTTATAAAAATTCGTTACATCTCGAGAGTTTTGATCAAAAACGCTTCGCTACATCGAGGGGACCAAAATACATTACATTTGTTCGTTATACCGCGATATTTTCAAGGGACCGGTAGTTTTATTCATTATATCGAGATTTTCGCTATATCGAATTTCGTTAAATCGCGAGTTGACTGTGCAAGGTAACTGTCTAGTTTCTAGTAAAAAGTTTATATACTTAGAAGACTTCTTAGTTCATGATTATTATTAATAGTATTATTATCAATATATCATTGTTCAAAAAATATGAAAACAGTCAGCCATGTTTTTTGTATAACAGTATTTTATGTTTTATTCATTAAAAAGTTGACTGTTTTTAAGAAAAAGACGGTTTTGATATTTAAGCTTGAGAATTAAAATTGTTCATACTTCCAAACGATAGTATTAATATTATTATCGTATGGTATAATATGCAAGCAGTACAAACTAGATACATATATATTATATAGATAAAAATAATTCACAAACAATAAAACAATATTAAACAGTAAAAATTAATGCTATGGGTAACTTTTCCATGTGGTAATTTAGTTAAGTAGTCTAAAGTTGGATGTCAAGTGCCCTGATCCATTTGACCGCGTTGCTTTATGCATTGTGGAGTTCTTCCACTGTCCCGTTAAATGCATGGAGGGGGCAATCACTTATAACATGGGAGATGGACTGTAAAGAGTGGCCACACGCCACAGTCACAGCCTGGACTATCTCTCATTTTCCATTTATGTATAGCATCTCTCCGGAGCGACCATGTCCTGTACGTAGGCGATTGAGTGTTACCCACTCTAATCGGGGTAAATGTTGTCCAGGAACTAGAGTATCCAGGCTTTTGATTAGGCTATAATTGTCTATGGCAGAATTCTGCCATTCTAGTTTCCATTCATCCATACCGTCATACTGGTTATCAATGAGTCTGGTTGTAGTTAGATAAGCAGGTTTTCTAAATTTAAGCCTAGGATTCCCGTTTAACGTGTATTGATGTAATGGAAAGGAACTATTTGAAGAATATTTTGACCATTCTCTGCATGCAGCCATTTTATTTATTTTATTTTATTTTATTATTAGTTATACGGGCTTAGCCCTTTTTGACATTACAATGTATATTTTATATCGTGATATAAATTTATACAATAAGAAAAGACTAAATTAAATGTATACAGCTTACATTAATATGAAATACAATTATCTGATGACAATAAAAACTTAAACATTAAAACCATAACTTTAAGGTTCATAGGTCTTGCTTCAGGTTTCTCTTTTTTAGTAGAAAAATTCCATTGCATCATTTTCACCGTATCAATGAACAATCTCCCAATTCCAATGAAAAACTCTTTTAAAATATAGGCGTACTGTTCAATTCAAAAAACACGTGGATATTTCATCTCACGTCTATCCGGAAGGACTCACTTATAAGAATGAATATCCTAAAACGTCTGGCACACTAGCTCAGCATGCTACTAGTTTGTATTGCCGTGTATTAAATTTGTATGTAGCATGTAGGTACATTATCAAAGTAGGACAGATGATGATATATAATACATATTATTATTATATACATACTGTTTATATTCGTTTTGAAGTGCTACATAAGACATAGTATGGAAACAAACAAATATACTTTACTGCCCTGCCTATTATTTTAATTTTTTTTTAAACACTTGTTTTTTATAGTTAAAATTATGATACAAAAATTGCTTTTTCGAAACTATTATTTTAAGGAGTTGTAGCTATTTCGAATTTACTTTTGTAATTAGGTTATACTGAAGACTATAAAGAGCTATTAAAGAGCTACTAAAGAGATACCAAAAAAAGTATGAGCACAGTTTTTTTGTATAGTCATTTTAAGTTCAAATTTCGATGAAATTACATATAACCAAGAATGACGATTTTAGTTATTTTGTTGTAATTAAAAAATAGTATTCGTGGGTAGGTACTTGAAACTACCAAAATATATTCTTATATTCAAATATGATGATTTAATTTTAATAATAATTCAACTTATCGACTATCGTATTAATAATAAAAATATAAAAATAATATAAAATATCCTATTCGGGATAACTGTTTCCGCTCAGAATTATTTTTTCGTATATTATAATATTATATCATCGGATTCAAATTTAACACCATCCATTACAGTGACCCATGGGTGTATTTGTAAATTGTAACCTTCTGTACAGTAGAGTGACACATAATTACCCGTTTTTCATTTTGTTAACAATGATACCATGATTGACAACTACTATGAATTATATATTTTTTTTAACAACAATTATATAAATATTTTTCGTATGCGTTAGGCACATTATTTTCAACAATACCGCAGCGATTATATCGTCACGGATTTTCTTACTCCCTTCCTCTCGCCAGGTGACTTGAGAACAACAGACTTTAACATCTCAGCGGTTATTGGGATCCTCCCAGACACTTTCTCAACTTTCGCTGTCGGGGATTTGCTTAATCTCTTCCTCTCGCCAGGTGGCTTGAGAACAACAGACTTTAGAATCTCAGTGGTAATTGGGATCCTCCCATACACTTTCTCAACTTTCGCTGTCGAGGAAGAGCTTGATTTGTGTGAATCCGATTTTTTCGGAGTATTCTGAGATAACGGTGCCGGGGGTGCGGGTGGCAGTGGTTGACAAAATACACTAGTCGACGGGGGTGCAGGTGGCGGCGGAGGCACAAATGCACTTGGCGCCGGGGGTGCAGGTGGCGATGGAGGCAAAACTGCTCCACTCGGCCCGGGTTTTGCCATTGGTGCCATATCATAATAAGATGGAGCTGCAGCTGGTTCGCCGTAACAGCGGTTATCGGGAGGAAACATTCCAGTGGACCCGAAGGATTGTGGTCTAGTCCACTCCAACGAACGATGTGAATAGTTCATACCGAT